GTGGACAAGTAAGTGTACACATCTGTGTCCATCGTATTTTTGAGCTTGCTTTGTCTTATTTGTAGTTATTGCCATACTGGCTCTAAAAAATGCACTTATATTGTATCTAAATCGGTCTCGCAATTTCACTCAAGACTATGCTGGTTTCGAGAAGACACCCATTCGTCATATTGTCGCCATTAGTTGTTACAAAGAACCAGTGGAATTGATTGCGAAAAGTATTCAAACACTAGCGGATCAAACAGAAGTACATCGAATAACTATGGTCATCTCATTTGAAAAACGGACACCGGATAAAGAAAAGAAATGTCAATTATTGGAGGCACAATTTCAAAATTGTGGATTCCAACGGATTATATTCACCATTCATCCATTTGATTTGCCCAATGAAATACCAGGAAAATGTTCAAATGCAAATTATGGTCTTCGTATGGCCGTCGGACAAATGTCCATTGCTGATCATGAAACAGACAATATTCTGGTGACAACTTGTGATGCTGATTCCAAATTTCCACCACAATATATTGCTGCATTAACTTGCAAATATTTGCAAGAGAATAGACCATCACTGACAACCATCTACCAGTCACCCTTGTTTTACAACTGGAAATTGGATAGTTTATCATTTGTCACTCGTGTAACGGGATTGTTACGAAGCTTTTTGATGTTAGGTGCATTGATCCCATTCAATATCAACACAATGAGTATTTTCTCGTTCTCATTAAGTCTAGCAAAACAAGGAAACTTCATTCATCCTGGCTATCAGATGGACGATATTATTTGTCTTATTCGATGGATGGGAGTGACACAACAACGATTACGAATATCGATGATATCCGTGCCAGTATTGAGTGGACCAACATCTGGAGAAACAATTGAAACGGAAATCATTGAATGGGCAAGACAAGCTCGTCGCTGGACAATCGGAGCAGCCGAAGTGTTTCATTATTTTATCATCAAGTCAAAACGCATGCCAGTAGCATCTGCATGTTCGTGGGGCGTGGCTTTTGCTATTTATTATGGGATTCTGTTGTGCACTGGTGGTTTGTATGGTCTAACATCGATGTTGTCCATGTTTCTCCTCGTCAAAAATGTTCCACTAGTTATCAGCTATATTATGTACGGTCTATTGGCTGTCCAAATGTTAACATTTGCAATGGCATTCATCATCGATGCATTTATTCCCAAACTATTGAATGTTAATGAATGCATTTCTATTCTACGAAATCTATTTCATTTTATAACAACACCATTTGTTCTTTTGGCCTATTCATTTGTCGAGTTTTATGCATTGCATGAAATCATTATTTTCGGAAAGAAAGTATGTAAACATGGTGCATCGGCAAAAGTGGTTCTCTAAAACTTGTTGTGCAGAATGAGAGCTACACGAGCTCAAAAACGATGGGTAGAGCAGAGTAGACAAATAGTATATCGTGTTTACTCTAAAGCATTGCTTTGTTCTTTTGTAATGCAGTATCTGTCATTGACTGATAAATAAATGGATATCAAATGTTAGCAAAAAATCGTCTACTCCCTGTATTTATATACAGTTTAGAACTGGAATGAGATCGGCCGATTTTCCATTTTGCTTGACCTTCTGTTTTACTTTTTTTGTGCTTTTATTGTATTTTGTTGGTCTTCGCCCTACACCGATAGATAAGGGCTATTCCTCTTCTTTTTTACTTTCGATTTTCATAGAAAATCACTTCAAGCGAAGTTTTGTATCGTGATAAAGAAATACGGTAGAATAACAGAGAGTGTACAATGGATTGCAAGTACTTTAGTTGATGTGAATAAGGATGTGCGTCGGACTTCGGCGGAATTTCTTGTCTAAAGGAAGATCGAAATTGTTCGTTCCGAATTTTGTACCCGTGACGGCGTGTCAGCTTGCAAGGGAGAGAAATATATTCTTTCTGAGATGTCATGGCACTATTAAACTCTCCACTAGAGACCTTTCTCACGTCTCAACTCAATTATTTATCTCAGTATTCGAATTGGGAGATGAACATGCCCTACTCTTGACGCCGATTTAAGTCATTTAATCTATGTTCTATAACGAATTCGAGATTTTATTTTGATATATCGAAGAGTAATCCTCTCTTGGTTTGACTTCAAAAAGGAACGAGCCCGTCGAGCCGGTTAGACTATGTCTAGGCATACACGAAACCGATAGTTCGGTGACCAAACTGTTCCCAACCGAATATGTTCGGTCAACAAACCATTCGCAACAAAACATGTTCGGTCAGCGAACGGTTTCCTGCTGAGCATGTTCGCTGCCGATTAGCGATCCCTAGCTTGGGATGGTTGCAGAGACATCGATGAGCGCTCTGCTGTCAAACTATCTCAGTTTGGCTTCGAAAAGGAACCAGTCCGTTGAGCCGGTTCCACGAATAGATACGGCAAAATGTTCTCCTTAAGTTCGAAAGTCAGCGATGTCTTAATCTTTCGTGACTTAGGCGTGGCATTCGATTTCCTCGAATGTTCAGGATCGAGATTTCCTTTGGTGCGGAGAGAAATGGAATCGTAGGTAATCGAACAGCCTCGTGGCCGCTTTGGTTGTTCGAAAAAAGTTCAATAACGTATTAATTTTAAAGATTTGCTTGACCTATTTTGTGATGGATTGTGGCAGATAGAATACTAGAAATTGTTTTTCCTTTATTTTATGCATGGGTGGATATAACGGATCGAGCTGAGTAACTAAAACTGTTTCTTCATTTTCCGGAACGAACGCTTGCTGTGAGAAAATATGACAAACTTGAACGCGTCAATCTCTCGGAAAACGCATGATTTTTGAAATATTAGAGATTTTTTTCCACTTCATTCATACTTTTAGGTTTCAAAAGTTGTTTTGTTAAATCAGTTTCAACTCAAGAGTTCATTGACAGTGGCGGCTAGAATTAGAATCTATTCAATGCATATTAGTCATTTTGTGAACATACGAACTTATTTAGCTCAAAATATATAGTCAAGTACCTTGTGTCAACAAAATGACCAATATGCGTTCGAAGCCCGTAACTCTAAATTATCTTTCTATATGCAAGAATCTGTTGTTGAAGTTATTTTTCAACCAAAACCATCCCATACCGCACACATTTAACACAACAATATATAGCGAAATCACCAGCTTTGGTCGATTTTTGCGTAAAATTTGGAAATTCCTAACTCACTCAGAATCGATCAAAACTACGTCACAATATCAAGACATACTCTATTTTATCACCAATTTTACCTCCGGTTGATTTTTTTAATTTTACAATTTGCTAATTTTACGTAAAAGTCGACCAAAGCTGGTCATTTCGCTATATATTGTTCTGTTAAATTGGTGCGTTATGGGATGGTTTTCCAAAGATTCCTTATAAAACCTGGTTGTTGAAAAATAACTACAACAAATTCTTGCTTATAGAAAGATAATTTAGAGTTATGGGCTTCGAACGCATATTAGTCATTTTGTTGTGATCGATATGCCACAAGGTACTTGACTATATGTTTTGAGCTAAATAAGTTCGTATGTTCACAAAATGACTAATATACATTTGGATGGATCTAATTCTAGTCGCCACTGTCAATGAACTCTTGCGTTGAAACCGATTTAACAACTTTCGAAACCAAGAAAAGTATGAATGAAGTGGAAACAAATCTCGTATACTTCGAAAATCATGCGTTTTCCGCAATTTGATCTGCAATCGATTTTGATCGAACAAGTTTTTAAAATTCTCGATCCGATTATGTGATAATTCTCTACAAAAAGGTAACTCGAATCTTCGGTCAATATCAAGCACGTTGTACGAGCTTGCGCATCCTTTTCGAGTGAGAAATCAGCGGGAAAAATTTACCCACGTTGTCTTATTATGTACCTCTCTTTCGCACTGTTCGTTTTGTTAGAATATCTCTCACATTCGAAGCAGAGAACAAAACGGAGACGAATGAACAAATATATACACAGAGTGCTGTGGGGTAAAAAGAGTCAGGACACGAAATTTTCTTCGTAATTTCACTATTTCTCATCCATTTTTAACTGACCAAATCCGGTATCAACCACGTTGATAGAGACGGTAATTATGGACACGCTAATGAAAACAATTTCTTGCAAATTGGTTTTCCAAATATATTCAAATGGGAGTCGAGTGGTTGTGATTAGGGGTAAAAAGAGTCAATCCATTCAATTTTTTAAAAGAATCCTAGCTCTTTAACGATGAATGCTAATTAATTAAAAATTATATCATTGCGAAGCTCTATTCGTCCTTTAGCGAACCATATGATTTTGACCTTCATATTTGTCATCTTCATTAAGCTAATTAGACCACAATAAAACGTGTCATTTTAAATTTTTTCTTTGAGGTAAAAAGAGTCAATCTATTCAAATACATGGAGGATCCAAAGAAAAATCTGTACAGACTTTCCAAAATCGATATTAATACTACTGTGAGTGTAAAACTGTGTCATCTCTAACATATGCGAAAACTGGCATTTAATTGCTAAAAAGAGAGAAATTTTACGATAAACTAAAATTCTGGATTATTTTGACCATGTTCTAGTCTTTATCTAATGCATATTTTGAATTAACAACAGGTAAATTAAGTAATGTGTTCATGCCTTATTATGTAATATATTCCTGGAAATCGAACGGAAAAAGAATGAACTTTCTATTATGAAAAATGGCCGAGATATTTAGGAAATTTCATCTTTTAAGCAAATTTTTCTAATATCCTTATTTAAACTTTCAATATTGAATGACTTTTTGTGTGCTTGGTAGCCAAGATTAATAATGTATACTTCAATGCCCTATTTTACTCAATTTTTTCACAACAAATTTCAAAAATACATCGAAAATACATTAAGCACAGTAACAAACAGCAATGTTCACATGAACAAGTTCATCAAGCATATCTCTTCACGCGTGTCTCTTTTTCCTCGCGTAATGATTGTAATACTTAATTATTTTTATTTTTATAGTGGAAAACTTCATTTATATCAAAGTTCTTGTTTATTGTTTACCCATATTGAATGTATAATCAATTTCATGTCGAACAACTGACATTTGATGATCAATCGTTCTCGCTATAGTTTGATCACCCACTGTTCTTCCTCGTGCTGTTAAATAGTTAGGGAATTTGTCTTTGAAACAATATTTTAGACAATAATTAATCAAAAGATGTTTCATTTCTTGACGAAACGTTCTTGATGTTAATAAAAAAATATAAAATGATGATGCATTATTAAAATATAACGTCGGTGTACTAGATAAGAATGAAAGAAACGTTTCAATTGACACTCTTAGCGCATTTTTTGATTGATTCATTGTTATTGTTGTGTAAAATAAATATAGTGGATAAAGTGATGTTGATAGAATGTAAACCAATACTTCAGCTAACAGCATTGAAATTAATTGCCGATCACGTTGTTTGACTTTTATTTGTGGAGCATTCCTCTTACCACCATCTGTTACTGGCCGGACACGACGACGGATCAGCATTAAATTTCGAAATGTTAATAAACTAAATACACTCATTAGCAGAAGTGGCACTATACCAATGAATATCAGTAAATAAATACTGTAGTACAAACCAAGGGCCGCGGGCATTATGCACCGTTGTTGTTGAATGGTGTTCAATATAGGAAGAGGTAACGGCATTATGAAGAAGATAATAGCTGTAAGTGCAATTGAACGATATGCCACAGATGCCTTGCTCAGTTGCCTTAATCTCACTTGTGGTGAACATAGTGCATATCGATCTATGCACGCCAAACAAACGAAATACCTTGACAATTGAGATATAACATTGATAAAATACAGTTTGAATTTACAGTAGGAAATAGAATAGTTGCTTGGATTTGGATATAAAGCAGAGTAAATTATTGTTATTAAACCAAAATTTAAAACGCAAATATTTGTCGCAGATGATGCAGTTAAATAGATTGAACACGAATTTGATCGTAGCGATTTCTGTAAAAAAATGACACAATTAAAAATATTACCAATCGTTCCAGCGATAATATAAATAATCATGCAAAGCGTTATCTGTAATTGAACAGTTGTTAACGTTGCTATTATTGGCGATGATGGTGAAGTAGTAGTATTTGACACCATTTTGAAATGAAAGATGTGACTTCTACAAGAAACTTAAAAATATGTTAGTACTGATAATCAAATTAGTGTATTTATCCTGAATCTATAGAATAATCTCTTTTTACTTTAACATGGTACAATTTGACAGTGGGTAAACATACTCTCCTGCTAATTTAATTATTTCTCTCTTACTTCAAGCAACAGAGAAAACAGAAATTTTCCTTGTTTTTTTGTGGCGATTTGATCATTGTTGCTCTTTCAAAAGTTAAGAAGAGTCATAGCATAAAACTTCGAAAATTAACATTAACTCTATTGACCACAATCAACAACAGAATGTAACTCTATCAAAATCGATCTGTCAGTCAAGAGATTTGTTTATCCTTGCGGACTCGACCTTTTCTAGCAGTCGTATCGTAGCACGGAAAAAGTCGAAGAATAGTTTATCTGATCGTATAGTCTAAACTAAAGTAGCTGAATCTACCAGTGTACCAAAACAGCATGATATCAACAGCAATTGAAGCGGGCATGAACCTTAAAATCAAAAAAGGTTCTATAATTAGAACAGAAAACAGAAAAGCTGTTTGTTTTATTTCATGGAAAGAAATAAAAATAAAATTCCATGAAAATTCTTTTCTGTGATTGATATACTTTTCATTATGTCTTCCGTCAAAGAGAGGAACTGTAGAACTGAACATGAAAGACAAGGAATTTAATTTTGAATAATTAGGATATGGGATGAGAGAGTGGAGTTGTGTGTGCGGGAAATTCTAGAATATTTCAACGGTTGGATGCTAGATGCATCTAGCAAATATCACCTATGGGAAAAATCTGGATACATTTCATCTGTAATCGGGCGATTAGTTCCCATCCAGATTACTAGTTGGAAAAGGGATTTTTAGCTAGATGCGTCTGCAGGTGCATCTAGCAATAGTTAAATCGATCGATTATCGGGCGATAAATCGATAGTTGCAACTAGAAAAAATCTGGTAATCGCCCAATTACTAGATTTATTGTCGTTACACAGTAGTTGTAATCGAGTAAAAATCTAGTAATCTAGATGAATCGAGCGATACTAGTTTTTTTTGACGCTTGGATGAATTCTCAGTTAGTAGAACCAATTTCATGGAAAACAAAGAACTCTGGATAAGATGTCGTTCTGCTAGAGTTCTTTAATGTGTTCACTATACCACCTAAACGGCATCAGATCTCGTTCAGCTATGCAAAGAAGTTCTTGTGCGTCTTTGTGCCGAATCATAAAGAAGTTTTTCCAAGAAGGTCCTATTTCTAAAAAGCCGTACACCTATTTGAAAATTTGTTGCGAATAAATGAGAGTTTCTAGTTCTGTTGTGGCAATGCCGTCAATCTACCTGTAGGTCACCGAGAAGCGCATTCGACCAGTCTGATTTTGTTTCCACTTCTCTTAGTGGTTCCTGCACGTTCTTCTTTCTTAATTATCATTTTTCTTCTTTTAAGGGGGATGAAACAAAACCTTTTTTTACTTCTTGTGCAGTATTTTACCTGTTTTCTGTCAATCTGTAGTCTTAGTTTTACCGTAATGACTAGCACATAAAGCCGCAAATTTTAAGAAGATACGTGTTTTGACATCCTGAATCGAATGATCCCTCAGTTTTCCGAAAATCAGCTCAGCAAAGGAATTCTCTAAACCCAGGCTTTCTAGAGATCCAAGCCGAGAAACTGTCGAAAACCCTTTTTAAAGGATCCAATCGATAGAGAATATGTGAAAACCTACGTTTCAATACATTTTTAAGCTCAGTTATGCGTTTTTAACTGAAAAGCAGAGAAAATAGCATTTTCGATCCTAAGTCAAAAAGTGATCAACTGGTATTTGGGCAGAGAAAGGCTTGGTAGTTTAGAAACATAGTTTTCTCATAGACTTTCGAGTATAGAGGTATAAACTGACAGCGTTAAAATATTTTTCTGGTCATTTTTATTTTAGGTCATTTTCTTCTTCAAAAACGGTACAAAAATCACCATAATCACTCATACATACTTCAAGTAAAAGATTGTGTGAGTCCCATGTCCACACATGAGCTACGCAGAGATTTCTGCGCATCTTTTAACAAAAAAATTCATACCTTTTTGAAAGGATGAAACCGAGTTCAGAAAGTCGAAAACTTGTAAGATGACATTATATATATCTTTTTAAACTCAAAACACGTACTAATATATACTTTTCCAACTCAGAAAAAGATAAATTATTATAATTACATGTATGGATTGAGAAGAGTATGTGACAAATAAAACTATGATAGAAGCAAATAATTATATATGAACATCACTGTAGGTATGTAACACCATGATTAATTGTTGTTGCTCTGATGAAGACCAAGTAGGAGTTATAGAAAATTGTCTGTGACTAATATTTGATAATGATAATTATTTTGTAATTAATACGATTAAATTAAACTAATTTTCTATATAAGTAATATTATAAATAATAAATTGATTGTTTCTTTTTAATGAGGCTGCGCAGCACTTCAGAGGGATGTCCGGCTTCAAGCAATTCCGGAAGTTCTCTTATCAAATGTGAATTTTTTTACTTTAACATGAATTTCGTATTCAATTAACAGCTCATTATCAAAATTCTGTTTCCACCAGATTGTCAATAGGGAAGTATCTCTTAGCTGGTACGAGTTTCCCACATGTCATGAGAAGTTCTACCTTACCGAGTAGAAATTTCTCTCTTAACCAGCGGGAATTACTCTTTCGTCTCACGGAAATTTTTTGCCTCTCACAGGACTTTCTCTGGTAATCAAAACTAGAAATTAAAACTGTACGAGAATATCTCTTCTATCTACGGATATTTCTTGCAGTAAAAAGTGGAAAGAACTATGGGAAATGTTGTTTCATAGAGTTCCGAGTTAAGAGGAGTTCCCACTCAGTTTGATCTCTACTTGTACTATACTGAGAAATTCCTTTGAGTTAAAAGGGAAATTGGCGAATTTTGTGTGGCTGGATGTCAAGCTTAAAATAATTATATAACATAATGTATCTGATATGAAAATTGCAGTCGGTAGAGAGAAATTCTTGTGGGAAAAGAGAAGTTTCGGAATTGAGAGAATCCAGATACTGCTGATTCTCCATGGCTTTTTCTCAAAAAGTTATAGCATGTCCAAGTTCCCTAACAACGATAACGCAATCAGCTATCTGGTAGTAGAGTTACGCGGAATGGTCGAACTTTTTGTTGATTGCTTGGTTCCCAATACAAATAAATGAATAATTACTTTGATTTAGAGAAAATTTTCCGCAATGTAATAATTTATACATATCGAATGTTGAAGTTTAGATATTATTAATAGCTGACCGATCATAATCATTTTCTATGATATAACTAGAAAATGCTTTCAATGGTGAACTTGTAAATGTATATGTCATTATTAATGGGCACCGCAAATTAATTAAACAATCATTTTTGTCGTTGAAATTGATAGCATCTTCACAACATGAGGCATTATGCTTTTGATCGTAAAACCATTTGTTGATTGTCAACACAAAAAATACTTGCAGCGACTTTTCCTTATAGAGAAACTTTTTATTAATGTTCAAGAAAATATAAAATGAACATCATCTATCGACAACAAAAATAAACTTTGTAGAATACACCAGTGTTTATCATCACTTTGATATAGTTGGAGTAGATAGAATGCTTTGGAAGTTATTGCCATTGTGTGTGCACACTCTAGTGGTAATTCCATCCCATGCAGACGTTCGACTAGTAAAAAGACTAGTCGATTTAGTGCTTTCGATGCGCGTCGGAGGCTCAAATCGGCTAGTCGGAGTGCTATTTTCCGACGGGTCGACTAGTCGGAGACAGATGAAATTCCCAAATCCAACTAGTCGATTTGAGCCTCCGACGGGTGTCAGAAACATTAAACCGACTAGTCAGTAGTGGGATTTTGTTTCGTTGGTAAAATGACATAAGCGTCAAAAGTCAGCGGTGTATGCACTAGATGGATGCTAATACTGCTTCTCCAAGCTCTATGTGCAGACTTGAGCACTACGAATCACAAATATTTAGTCACAAAACTTACATAAGTAAGCTACTTATAAAGTAGAAGTATTTGTGGTTCGTATATAAATATGGTTTTATCTAAAATTGCTTTATATCTATCCATGAGGACGTTTTAAGCAACTGTCGGGCGATATAACTCGATATTAGAGGGTAGAC